GTAAATTTTTTGTTTCACTGTCTGTAAATTGTCTATTTTCTCTTACTAATATTCTGAAGTACACCTTTTATATACATTCTACTAAATTGGTAATGATACTGTTAATTAATGCTTTGTTGGAAACAGCATTCTCATCTATGGTAGAGGGTAAAAATGAAGAAATGTCTACATCTGAGCTGTCTGGTGGAGCACGGATTCATTATATTTTCCAATCAATCTTTGTTAAGAGCTTGGAGGTGGGTAGGCGGATATTTGTGTCTGGGATATTTGCATGCCTTTCATTCTAAGGAATTTTTTACTGGCTGGATTTCTTTTCCATTTTTAGTTGGAGGTGCTTTATATTATACATCTCCTTATCTTTAGTGTGTTTCTTCACATCATTGTAAAAAAGTTGGTCATTAATTACTATAAACATCATTACCACCTATCATCATTAACATTTCTGTTGATTCCATTAATGTGTGAATTTCACTCCCTGTGGGTGATTTTGTGCTTGGTCTCTGCAAGGACAGGATAAAAAATAAATAAATATGACAACCTTGTTGGTGGTTATCTGGTTTCATAATGTTAATTTTTGACCTCTCTTTTTTCTAAAATATAAAACTTTCTTTTTTGTCCTCAGAGCTACCGCTTCATGTAAAACACAGGCATTACAAGTCTTACTTTGCAACTATTGAATTTATTGATGCACAGACGTGCCACCGATGAGTGCCTTTATGTAATCTGGTCCTTATTTTGAGTTTGCTGTTAACTGGTTTGTTATACAGGAGGTTGATCCCTGTGAAGACTTGACTGATGATGACATTCGAACTGCCATTCAGAATGCAACTGGTCCTCGATCTGCGCTATTTGTACCAGAAGTAGGTTCTAGTGGCTTCTACTTTGAATGTTTTATCTAAGAAATTTTTTATATATTTTTCCAGATCTAAATTGCTGTATTCCAAATGATTGCTTGGAATTATTTTATGTTAAACCCAGAGCATGGTGTTATAATTCAATTTTTTTATATATAGGTCCCATTTGAAGTACTTGTTCGAAGGCAAATAGCTCGTTTGCTAGATCCGAGCCTTCAATGTGCCCGGTTCATATATGATGAATTAATAAAGGTGATTTTATGTTCCAGATTATCATTGTAGTTTCACAGCTCTATTGCTTGAGAATCAAGATTTTCTAATAGAATTATTCTCTTTCCAGATTAGCCATCGCTGCATGGTGAATGAACTGCAGCGCTTTCCTGTTCTAAGAAAGCATATGGATCAAGTTATTGGGAATTTTCTGCGAGAAGGCCTTGAACCATCTGAAACAATGATAGGGCATATTATTGAAATGGAGGTATTCTTATGTTTCTTCTATGTTATATTGTTTTATGTCTCTATTCCTAATCCTGTTATAAATTATGATCTTGGTACAGTTGATGTGCAATACATGTTATATTCTTATGGTCATTTCAAAGATGTTTAGTTTTTTGTGATATAAGTCATTCAATCTTGCAGATGGATTACATAAACACCTCCCACCCAAATTTTGTGGGTGGAAGCAAGGCCGTAGAGCTTGCTAATCAGCAGATCAAGAATTCACGGGTTCCTTTGCCCATATCTAGATCAAAAGTAGGTCCTCTACGAATAGTCATTACTATGGTAGTATTGCTATTATTCAATCCTAATGACCCTTGATTTTCAATTTTTTCCCGTTTCTTTGTTGGCTTAATCAGGATGGCTTAGAGCCTGATAAGGCACCTACTTCTGAAAGGAGTATTAAATCTCGGGCTATTCTTGCAAGACAAGTTAATGGAATTGTGGCTGATCAGGCAAGAAATTTTGTGTTTCTGATGGCCAAAATCTGCTTTCTTTCCCTTGCCTGTTCTCTTCTTGCTTTTCTAATCTTTCTCTCCCTTGCCAGTTTTTTTTTTTTAATGATAATTAACTTTTAATTTTATACTCCATTTGCTTGCAGGTTGTCCGTCCTGTTGCAGATGTTGAGAAAGTTCCATCTGCAGGTAATGCGTTTTAGGCTGACATTTTATGAATTTGTGGAATATGTTGCTTTAATATCTGTGGTTCTCCTTTTATAATTGTTTGACAAGAAAGCCAAATATTGAGGGTTTTCTCTCCTTTCTTTTTCCCCTGAAAGGGGTCTCAGAATTGCATGATATGAATTTTTGGGTTTTTGATTTTTCTTGCCCTATTTTTTGTATTATTATCAAGCAGCATAGGAGTAAATTGATGTTCTACACCTTGGTTTTATCAGGAAGCACAAGTGGTTCAACTTGGGGTATTTCTTCTATTTTTGGTGGTAGTGATAACCGTTCATTAGTTAAGGAGAGCTCAACCAACAAGCAATATAGTGAACCTGTTCATAACATGGAACTGGCCTTTTCCATGATCCATTTGAGAGAGGTATACACATCAGATTATCCACCAAGGACCTAGTGCTAACTTAAATAATATGTTACTATTTAAATTATTAATTCAATCTTGACAAGCATGGTTTTTATTCTTTCCAGCCTCCACCTGTCTTGAGGCCTTCAGAAGACCGTTCAGAGAATGAAGCTATTGAAATTGCCATCACGAAATTACTCTTAAGATCATACTATGACATTGTTAGGAAGAATATTGAGGACTCTGTACCTAAAGCAATTATGCACTTCTTGGTAAGTTTGAAACTGAGTAGATTTGCTAACTACATTTCCTTGTGCTTTTTTAATATTTTATCCATGTTCACGGCCAAGTTCCTGATAACTATAGTATAATGGAAAGTGTTATCGTGCTCTAGTTAGGATTTTCTAGTTCTTACCGGCCAAATTAATTTCTATTTTTCACCTTACATCGGTTAAGCAATTATATGGCTTGACATAAACAAGATTGGTGCTAAATATGTTGATTACCATCCTCCACTATTTTAATCTGGAGAGAAGCATATATCATTGCACAAGGCTACAGTTTATTTAAGTATGTGGTGTTTTAAGTTATGGTGGAATAGTGATGGATTACATGATTGTTTAAATGTTATATCTTGTTTACTTGTCCAATTATGACATGGGGCATGCCAGTTGGTCTACAAGTTTGCTTGAGCTTGATGAGGTTATGTTTGCTATATATTTCTTATCTTGGAACCTGAAACTGTTGTAATTTCTTGTATGCTTATTGCTGTTTTATCAATAATATATCTCTCCATAGGTTATAGTGTAAGCTGTGTTATACTAACAATTGTGCAATATTGCATTGTTAAGCTGAAGCATCATACAAATATTAATCTCTGTCTGTTGATGATATCTATATTCAGGTAAACCACACGAAACGTGAACTTCACAATGTCTTTATCAAAAAGCTTTACAGGTGATGCAGAGCTTTGTGACATTTGACTTGATTTCAATTTCGTTCAATTATTTATTCTTTTGATAATCTCCTTGTTGACTGTCGGGTACCCCCGTTTGTCTTATGATCCAAAACAGAGAAAACCTGTTTGAAGAAATGTTACAGGAACCTGATGAGATTGCTGCAAAGAGAAAACGTACTCGAGAAACACTCCGAGTTCTTCAACAGGCATTCAGGGTGGGTTTTCTTGACCTCATATCAAAATGTCAACTTATCATAAGAGTTTTCGTCTGTTTGTTAAGAAGTAAAATGTCTAATGTTTTTTTCCACGTTTACATGCACAAGTGTCATCATATCCCTGATTCTCTGCATTCTGTACTTCTTTATTTTCTTGAGTAAATTGCAATAAGTACAAAGTTGCAGTCAGATTTATTTTTTTGTCTTTTTTTCTTTTTCCTTTTCAAATCCTTTTAAATAGACTTTGGACGAATTGCCATTGGAAGCCGATACGGTGGAGAGGGGATACAGTTTGGGTTCTGATCCAACAGGGCTGCCAAAGATCCATGGATTGCCAACATCATCGATGTATTCTACAAGTAGTGGGTCTAATGATTCCTATGCAGTGTCTCCTAAAAACACAAAATCTCGCAAGTCTTCTCACTCAGGGGAACTACAGTCACACTTGTATGGTAATGCAGATTCAAATGGAAGTGGACGCAGTTTCATGCCAGGTCTCTATCCTACGGTTGATCTGTGAGCCGCTTGAATGTGCAATTGTGCATGCCGGTCCAAGTTTTTGTCAATGTGGAGGCATCATATTCATTTGATTGCTTAGTCTAATTTCTGACTCAAGATATTTGGAGTTCCTCCAACCAAAGCTGGCGTGTTGGTAGACTGGAGTTATCTTCCAACTAGATATCTTTAAGTCAGCTATTGTGCATTTGCATTTTGCTCGATATATTTCCCCATGTTCTACTAGCATGATATAGGGTTATAATTGCATTGGTTTATCACTCCCGGAAGAATAATGGGAGTGAAAACTCGCTTTTTGGGCCAGGAACAGTGGATTTTTGGTTCTATAATTATTCTTTTTACAATCTCCTTTACCCCCGTATTTGTTGACATCAGGCGGTAAACATGGCCCAACTCTTTGGGTGATAATGTACTTAGATCAAGAATGTTAGCCATCCATGGTGTTTGTATCCAATGTTTTCCCCTATATTGATGTGAAATTTAAAGTCCATCGTTTTTGGTTTTGGTGGAAAGAAACGTGTAATTTCTGTTGGCATTTGATATTTTGATAAGATCTTGCTCACCAAATAAAAAAAAAACAGCGATCAAAACTGTACCTTCAGTTGTAAAATATGTGGGCGCAGGTGCCATCCGTCTCGTGCATGATTTAAAGCTCTGGTATTCCTTCTCTTCTAATGGTTGTGGGAGGGTCTTTCATATGAATACGAATTGGTTTTCCCCTAGGTTTAAACGTCAGAACACATAATACGAATATGGTAGAAGCAGAACTAAACAAAGCTTATGCCTATTGGACAAACAAAAAAGTTTCCCTCCAGAGAAAATAAAGCATAGTTAATTTAATTTCTCTAAGTTACAATATTTTTTTACCAAAAAAAAAAAAGAAAAAGAAAGGTAAACCCGCGTGAAAAGAAATACGTGGCAAAAGTAGAGACTATACTTAACGAACTCCGCCAACCGTCAAAACTAAAAGCGCCAAATAGCTCACGCTGTGTCTTTCTAAACCCTTTCCCTCCTCTGCTTTGCTAATCAACCAAGTCCCAGGAAAACACATTTTCCTCACAAAAGTCCCATCTTCTCCCAAGAAAATGACGAGAAATATCAGCCTTCCTCCTCCACGCTCAGTCCGCACTGGGTTTCTTCACGCTGTCTACGCCCATATAATCTTTTTTGGTCTCCTCATCTGTTCAGGAAATTTTATCTGCAGTTTCATCCAACGCCCCTCTCCCCGGGCCTTTCTGCCGGTACTCATTGCCTTCTCTCTTCGTCACTTTCTTCTACTTATTTGCATATTTTCTTTCAACTAATTTTTTGATTAACTTTGCGCGGTTCCGAAGTTGGATCCACTCCCAGAGACTGCAATCTTTCACTCTCCCGAGGTTTTCGAGCGGGATTATGCAGAGATGGAGAGACATTTCAAGATCTTCCTGTACCCGGATGGAGACCCTAATATGTATTATCATACACCAAGGAGTCTTTCCGGCAAGTATACCAGCGAAGGGTATTTCTTTAAGAACATTAGAGAAAGTCCGTTTGTGACTAATGACCCTGAAACTGCGCATCTCTTCTTCATTCCCATCTCCTGTCATAAAATGAGAGGCAAGGTAATTTTGATGTCTCTTTTGTAATATCACTTCCGATTCAAGATTTTACATCTCTTTCTTTGGGCCTCATTCCTCACTGACGTCGATGTGCAGGGCCTCTCTTATGAGAACATGACCAGAACCGTCCAGGAATATGTCGAAAGCTTAATGGTCAAGTACCCTTTCTGGAATAGAACTTTAGGTGCTGATCACTTTTTCGTGACTTGCCATGACATTGGCTTGAAGGCTACTGTAGGAGTTGCTCATCTTGTCAAGAATTCAATTCGAGTCGCGTGTACAACTGGAGATGGTGATGGATATATCCCACACAAGGATTTCCCTCTTCCTCAAATAGTGCAGCCATTTTCTCTCCCCGCTGCAAGATTTGACCCTAAGAATAGGTAGCACCAACTTTGGTATTACATATGCTCTTGAAATTTGATTCTTGTGGAACATTCATTAACAATTAAATTGATATATTTAGTGACTGGGGATTTCTTTTATTTAATGGCTCTTGCATGGATAGAATCTGTTCTAACTAACTTCTCCAGTAGAACAAGGCTGTGACTTGCACACCACCATATCAATTTACCTCCAAAATTACATGAATACACTGGCTTATGTTATGTTGCAGGAATACACTAGAATTCTGGGCTGGCAGCCTCAAGTCTGAGCTAAGACGTGAAGTGGTTAGTGCTTGGCAGAATGACACAGAGCTTGACATTCAGAGCAATTCTATGATTAATGTCCACACCTAGAGAAGTTCAACACAGCTAAATTTTGCATATGTCCTGGTTGGTCTCACGTCCATGGCTCACGTATAGCACTCTCCATTCACCATGGATGTGTCCCTGGTATGACCCTTAATTTTCTAACATATTGTTTCTTCATCAATGGTTCTTTCTTATTTTTTGCCTCCTTTACTTAGCTTTTCTATATATAAACCTTTCCTATTGTGATCAGCTTGGTAAGCTGTTTAATTTTCTTCTTCCTCCAGTTATCATGTCAGACCACCATGATTTGCCATTCGATGATATTCTTGATTGGAGCAAGTTTTCAATAATAATCAAGGAAGATGATGTTCACCAGATTAAGCACATTCTTGAGAGAATATCCTATGACACATTCAAGTCTCTGCATTACAATACTGTGCAGGTAACAAATGCGAATATCATAGAAAACTCTAATTTTTTATTTTTTAAAAATTTCAATCTGTTTGAAATTATAAAAAGATGATATACTAATTATTTGGTATGGCTGCAAATCAGGTGCAGAGGCATCTACAGTGGAACTCACCTCCCATCAAATATGATGCATTTCATATGGTCATGTATCAGCTGTGGCAGCGCCGTCATGTTACCAAGTACTAAATGAACTGAATTACTAGAAGATATACCTGGTACACTCACTCTAGTGCCTTCAAAGCCTTTTATTTTGAGATGATTGTACAGTCCAAATTTCGGTCTTCTCCTTGTAAGGAGTAATCCTCCTATGCTTGAAAAATCATGACAAAGATGGAGCTGGATATGCCTGTCAAGCAATTGAGCCCCTGGGCCTGATTAAACATGCTTGTCTTCCATTTTTCACCGCAACGATCCACCTCAAACTTTTAGGCATACTATATCAAGTACCTAAATATCATAGGTTCCATGTTGCCACTATACACGTAGCCATGAACTTCCGAAACAGGTAAAAATCCGGTGACATTGCACTTGTACATCTCCGATTGTGTAATTTATGCCTCATCTTGCATTTTTTCCCATTACTTAATGCACATGAAATGCCTGTTGGATTTACAACTTACAATTACATTGGCTTAGTATGGAAGAGGCAGAAATGAGCAAGGCACAAAATATTATTCACATTATATAAAAAAACAAAAAGCCCGCGTTAAGTCCAGCAGCTCACGTACAAGGGAATTCTATGTCTATAAACAAAACATCTCTGGAAATCTATTGTTAGTCAATACCAGTTCTGCTCGATCAAACATGTCATAAAAGAAACCTCCACCTGGAAGATTGAACTTCACATACATATCGCAACATCTTAAGTCCCAGGCCACTCGGTCCCAATGTTGGTATCATCGATGTCCACCTGTAAGTTTTGTATTCATGAACTTGCAGAAGTAATAACATTTTTGGCTATTAAGCCCATCTGAAGTAGATGGTTAGTCTCCTATATGGTTGATGCCAGGTTGCTAAAAAACCACTACCTGCTCATCAAAATGTGAAGGAATCTCAAAATCTGACCCAGAGGCATCGGCAAGCTCTTCCAGTGTTTCCTGCATGTCCTATTGCACGTAGACAAGCTTACTTAGAGAGTAAAATATGCCTTTGAGAGCTACTCTTAAATGTTCTGCACCTAAGTCTTTGAACCAAAAGAAGAAATAGTAACTCTCCCTTATGCAATTACTTAAGAGAACACTATTATTAGTTAAACAACAGAGCTTCTTAAACAAATACTGGAATAAATTGTTTCTATCAAAACCAGTTCAATTTAATTGCTTGTGAACCAACAGAATACCTCATCATCAAGGTTGACTGAGGAATTCACCACTTGGATGGGAAAAGGATGTGAGTTTTCTGCAAATTCCTGCATATCAGTAGACAACATATGATAAATAAAAAAAAAGCAATAACTTGCAGACTGTAATTCTAGGTAATGAACTTGTGCAGCAACAAGACAACATTACTATTGAGAAGTTCAATACACTAGGAGACACTTCTGTTATATTTGATAAAGGCTCATTATATAGAAGATAGCTTCTTAAGCATCTCTATACGACAAGGTTCAAACAAGACCACATCTTTGCCAGCATGGCATATAATGAACTCAATTTGATCGTCAATACCCCAAAAATTCTTGGTACATCGACTTTGAAATATCATATGCCATTCAGAATCTGGCTTATAATTGGAAAATCACGAGTTGAATCCCTCCCATCCATCCATTAATTGAATCTCACCTGCTCGTTTGATCTTATCAAATGATTTACAGAATCCAAATGTACTGGCTTGGTATCTTCTGGGCTTCCCTGATGATAGAAAATGGAAAATTCCAAAAAGTCATGCCAGGATGAAGCATCAGTAGTCTGGGTTTCACAGTTTAACATTGCTTCTATATATAAAAAATATTACATTAATGGCACAATAAAAAGAAAACCAAAGTAAAAAAAGTGCATAATTCTTAGTGTACGAACAAACTCAGCACTTGCAAATTATCATGTTACATTCATGTTTGCCTAAACTGATCCAAGGAAATTGATACCTGCTCATCATCGTTGGCAAATGAATTTTCAGGTTCCATCGTTGAACGCTTAGTATCAGTTAGAGTTTCCTGTGAGATAAAAAGACTTATTTCTGAAGCGAATAAAATGCCTTCCTGGTTCACAACTAGAGAAAAAAAACACTAATAACAACTGAGAATGAGATTGCTATAATTAAGTAAATACCCAGTGGTAGTGAATAAGAACACATCAGTATCTCCATATACATACCGGCTCATTTGAATCAAAGTGAGCATTCCTCCCTCCTTTTCTAAGATCTCTCAATGTTCCCTAGAAATCAAAAGACATAGTGAACAATATGGTATTATTATTATTATTGTAATAGATACTTAAGCATCTACTGGCCTAGTAGGAATCTCAACATCAAGGAAGAACCAGGTTGATCACAAAATGAAGTTATCATGCCAAAGAGATTCAACAAGAAATGTCAGAGCAGGGCCAACGCATCCCACGACCCTAGCACCCCCCAATATCCCATTTTGTCCAAATGCATGCATTATTTCCCATTTTCTACCATTATCAAAACTACCAATCAGCATCATGTAATTGCATATCAAGTGCACTCTCAGAGCCAAGATTACTCTCATAACTTTGGTTATACTTTTATCAGCCTGCTATTTCTATAAGACAATGTCATAATCCAATTAACCATGTTCAATCAATGGTAGACATAGAGGTAGGCTAGCTTGTATTTAAAATAATCTAAATAAATGTTGCATGCATCATAGATGTGAAGAAGGTAATACACTCCTCCCAATAGAAAGGAAAACCAACCCCCAAATAATTCAAAATCTGATAATGACATTACCGTAGAAGGTTCTCAAGTAAGATTTGTCATAGACGGTTGTCATAGCTTGTAGCTACAACTGTTACAACAGAGTATAACCTAAACAACCAACAAAAACTAGCAAAAGCCAGTAAACTTTAATAACAAAATTAAATTCAAGTTTGACTGTTTCAACCATGCATAACTATGTCATCAAAAACTAATAATAAGCAACTGAGAAGTGAAACTTCATACATAGCAATTTATGACTATTCTACACCTACCTTGTTTGCCCACATAAGGCCACAAGCATTGCAAAGTGTTCTCGGACCAGCTGGCCCCCTACGCATCGCTGGAGTTAGCTTCTCACTGATCCCACAATGATGACATCGACGCAAACTGATAAGAAAAGCAAAAATGCAGAACAAAAACCATAAATGCCACCATTAACGCAAGTCACATCAACAAGAAAGAAACAAAGTAAGCTTCAAACTCACGCAGATTCAGGAGTGCTGTCGCTTTGATCCCAGCTTCCATCAGCCGAGTTGTAGCACTCCTTCAATGATGCAAACTGTCCATTCTTACGATGCATCCTAACAGACAAAAGCAAATTTGAAGTGCACTTATAAAGCTGGGGAACAAACAATAGAAGTGCATTGGAGATGAGATAGTTCCTAATTTACCGGCTTGAGGAAAGCTCGCACACTTGTAGAATGCTACTATAATCTTTATTTATTTATCTTCTTAGTACCTCATCTCCAGAGCATACAATTAACTATTTTAAGACAAAAGGCAAATTTGAAGTGCACTTACAAAACTGGGAAACAAACAATTGAAGTGCATCGGAGATGAGATAGTTCCTAATTTACCAGCTTAAGGAAAGCTTGCACACTTGTAGAATGCTGCTATAATCTTTATTTATTTATCTTCTTAGTACCTCATATCCAGAGCATACAATTAACTATTTTAAGACCCTCAATCGAATATTGAAAAAGCTTATCCCTACAGAATCCAACCTATCAAGTAAACCTATCAAAATAGCAGGTAACAAAACCTAAATGAATGTTCATGACGAATTCCCATTTTTAACTTTTAAGTTTCCAAAGAGGCTTAAAAGAAAAAAAATTCCAAAGAGGAAAAAAAAATGGAAAATGTGTACCAATGACATCCTTAAGAAGAATGTATCAAGCATCAATGACACCAGAAAGTTAATGAAGGATCATAAAGCTATTTTCTAACAGCTGGATAACAAGCATAACGAAGACTTGAAAGAAGAGACCTTGTCAATATGTCTTATAATTATAGAGCAACAGCAGTAAGCTTTATCACACGAACAAGCTAATTAGCTTATTTAACTTCTGATGACTAAAATCCCAGTTGAGTCTAAGAGCTACTTATCAACAAACACGACATACCTCTGAGCAACCTCTTTTCGGCAAGTATAACGAATTTTCTTTTCAAAGCATCTCTCATTCCTCTTTTCACGAAATCTTACTAGTGAGGCAATTCTTCGTGAAAGCTTTGAGTCTTCTGAAGAACCACCTACAACCTTGAACATATCGTAAGGAAATATTAACAACCGAAGGCATAGATTCAAACAAAAATTCACAGAGAAATGTCGTATGCATATAGGATACCTTGACCTTTTCTTGTAGTAGAAACTCAGAGCTGGGCACATTAGTTGATGCACCACGTCCTCCCAGTAGTAACAAAACTGCTTGCACCTGGGAAAACAATGCCAGCAAATCAGAATATAAAGACCCAATTATTCGAGAAGGTTAAACTTATTTCCTTATGCTATATCTAGTTGAATCAATGGTGGAAATCGTTTTACATCATCTAATATAACCCCTTCCCCAACTAACAGGGAAAAAAAAAAAAGAAAAAGAAAATGGACAAAAGCTTAAAGCCTCATATAATATAACTAGCTAGTTGGGCTGAGGTGAGCTGAGAAGTGAACATAAAAGTTAAAACGAAAATTCCCTTTTTACATGTTCAAAATCAGGATAACCTATGAGGCACACCAACACTGCCCTTAACACCAGTAAGAATTTTAATTACTGCTTATCCACAATGGTCATCCCCACCTCAGTAAGAAACAGATGATGTCAATCTCATTTACCCACCCCATTGCCATTAGTGGAATAGCGCATTTATATGCCATAAGTCCACCCAATGGAATGAAACCTTTTCCCTTCAAAACTGCAAGAAGTCCTGAATGTCTGATGAAAAAACAGAAACAAGTAAACAATGACCGATAAAAGGCATGCACAACTAACCCTAATTAAATTATTTACATTCCAAGACTTTTGAAAGCAATCCCGAATCATTGCAAAGTCAGATATAGGAGCTCCGTAAAAATTATTTAGATTGTGAACAATTAATCTTAAACCTATAACCTCAGAAAAGTGGGCAATGTACATCATTATCGATTTGGCATCATCTTAAGTCTAAGATAAATCAGCAAAGCGATCACCAAAGACAAATACAAAACAGGCTCTCATAGTAAAATACAAAATCTCCTCAGTTAATATTAAAAATGGCAATACCTAAACAAATATAACTAATCTCAACAGCAAAATTCCTACAGTTTGGCTGTATTTTATAACTCATACTAATTCACAATTCTCAAGGGCTATCCTCC